AAAAAGAGAGAGAAGCAGGTTATTGATCATTGCTTTTCTTTTTTCTAGTTGAAAGAAAATTCGTCGACCGCTGTCGAAGTTCTTTTCTTTTCTTTCTTTTTTTGAATTTGGTTCTGCTTCAATCGAATTGAAGCTCTTTTCTTTCTTTCTTTGTGAATTCGGTTCCGTTTCGATGAATTGGGGGGGTGGGGGGTGGGGGGTGGGGGGGCGGCAGGAGCAAAAGAAAGACAGATGAGAAGCCCGTGAAAGCGCGCAAGCGCGAGCGACAGAGAGCGTTCGCAAGGAAGAAGCGCACAAGCGCGAGCGCAAGGGAGATGCGCCCTCGACGCACCACTCACAAATGTGAACACCACAAAGCTCTGGAGGGTGTAGATTTCCAACGCCCATGGACAGAAAGAGAGACAGGAAGGAGGGAGGGAGGGAGGGAGGGAGGGAGGGAGGGAGGAGGCCAGAAGCCGAGGTCCTATTAGCAGAGGATTGGATTTAATCCGCATGTGTTTGTCGAGAGATGCAGAAAATCAAGAATGCTCTTGTTCTCCCATCTAGTCTAGATTCAAGCGCTTTAAATCCTTCTCCTACATCTAGTTGCATCTGATTCGAACTCAGGTCTGCATTTTTCAACAGTTTATGGGTGTACCAACTTTTTTTTTTTTTTTTTTTTTTCGGGCGGTGTACCAACTTAAGCCAATCCACTTCTTTTCTTTTCTTTTTTTTTTTTTGCTTTCAAAAGGCTATACCAATCCACTTCGATAGTAGGACTGCGCGCCGACGGTGACGGCAAGCGAGAGCTATTTGGAAGAAAACAAAGACAATGGGCCTCGCTCCACGGACGCATCGATTTTTTGTTGGCAAATCTAATGTGAGGGCATGCATACTCACACTAGGACTTTTTCCAATGAGCTCTGGACGTAATTTGCGTTTAGATACATCCATGTCCGACCGTAATTGCGGTCGGATGCATCAAGGCAGTCCTGACGTGACTATGCCTCGAGTTGGGCCATTCGCCGTGGTCCGAAAACACACTCGCCCGTGACTATGCCTCGAGTTGGGCCATTCGCCGTGGTCCGAAAACACACTCGCCATAACATAGGGGCTCGCGCACGACTCGCCAAACGACAACATTTCAAATGCATCCGGACGAGGATCGCGTCGAGATACATTCAAAATGTTGGCGTTGGGCGAGTTGCGCGGCGAGCCCCATATACATGCTTTGGACGGCTCCAACGGTAGGGCGTGAGCTAGCAACCAAGCAATCAAACACGAGAGCCCGCACACGAGAGATAGAAAGTGCGCGTACATGCATGTCTGTGTGTGTGTGTGTGTGTGTGTGTGTGTGTGTGTGTGTGTGAGAGAGAGAGAGAGAGAGAGCCTGGTGCGCATGTGCGTGTGTGAAAAACAGAGAGAGAGAGGGAACGTGCGCGCAGATGTACGTGCATGTGAGAGAGAGAGAGCCAGGTGGACGCGCGCGCCCCCTGCGTGAGAGAGAGAGAGAGAGAGAGAGAGAGAGAGAGAGAGAGAGAGAGAGAGAGAGAGAGGGAGCAAACTCGCAGTACAGATTTCGGCAACGTACGTGGCCGCAATTATGGCCAGAAGCCTTCGAATAAGTCCAGTCCAGCTACGATCGAAAGCGAGGGAGAGCGACCGACGACATAATGGTCGGGAGAGCGCGAGAGAGACGGGCGAAGAAGTGGCGACCACCGAGAGTACGGATGGGGAACGATGGCGGAGGGGGAGCTGGTCGGCGAGAGGGAGGGGAAGAGAAGCCGCGGCGCGCGTGGCCGCACAGCTTCACGCAGAAGGTGGCCAAGCAGAAAAGACATACGGGCCTCGCCGCACCGTGGCTAAAACGAAACGAAAAAAATATGACGCTCGCGAGGCCTCGCCGCGAGCGCTGAAATCGTCCTTTCGCTTCGTTTTTTTGCCTTCCCGCCGCATAGCACGCACAACTTCGCTGGCGAAAGTGGCCTCGCGATTTTCGCGGAGGTTTCGTATGTGTATGTGCTATGTGGCCAAGAGGCCATTTCTGGCGAAGGTACGCCATTGGCCCTGCGGCCCTCATGGGTTGTTACAGGAGCGCGTCGGTGTTCCTGGTCCCCTCTGTGTTGGGGGAGAACTCCTGGCCGCGGGGGACACGTTGGCAGGATCCGTGATGGCCCTTCCCACATCGGCGTTCCACCAGCCCGCCCCAGAACCCAGATGGGCTTGGGGCAAGTGCGGTCACCAGTTCGCAGCGAGTCAGGGTTTGCATTTTAACTCGCAGCCCGTCAGGGTTGCGTTTAATGCCCTTGAGACCTTTTTATGCCATTGAGACCTTCAACGTCAATAAAATATTGACTTACCGTGAGGGCACGCAACCGTAGTTTGTATATGCTTGATTGATAAACACACACACACACACACACACACACACACACACACACACACACACACACACACACACACACACAGAGAGAGAGAGAGAGATGGCACGCAGACAACGAGCAAAATGAAATGGGCACATGTGACTCACTCAATCGGGCGCTGAGCGTGTGGGGGGCGTTGAATACGTCCACGTTCAGACACATCTGTTTGCACTTGCAAATGCAATGCAGGTGTGTCGTTTCAACCTGCGGCCAAGGCCGCGCCCTTTCCGGTTCAGACTTTTCCACTTTTCCACCCTGCCGCAGCTTTGGCACCGTTTCAACCACAACCCAGCGCGTGGTCCCATGGGCAGCTATCGGTCCCGCATTTTCCAAAGAAACTGCCACCCCCCCCCCAAAGTTCCACCCTGCCGCTGCTTTGCCACCATTTGAACCAAAACCCAGCGCGTGGTCCCACAGGCAGCTAACAGTCCCGAATTTTTCAAAGAAACTGCCACCACCCCCAAAAGTGTCGTGCCAGCACCTGCCTGCATTTTTTTAACCTTCCAACGACCAAACGAGCCCGAATCAACGACCGGTGGAGGCTGGGCAATTTTGAGGTGAGGGCTTAGCAAGGGGCGGGGCATGCGAAGGATCAGCAGCTGCCCGTAGGAGGCCGAGGAGGCCGCGGCCCTTTAGTTGGACATTTCAAAATCGAAACGGCGTTGGAGGCCGAGGAAGCCACGATCCTTGAGTTTTGAACATTTCGAAATCGAAACGGTGTGGGTCCACTTTTCCAAAATAGAAGAGCACTTCGAATAGAACAGGGGTGCATTGTGTTCGAATACATCGTGTACCCTTTCTATTCGAATTTCGGAAAAAAAAACTTTTGAAATGAAAACGGTGTGGATCCACTTTTCCCGAGTAGAAGAGCACTTCGAATAGAACACGTGTGCGTTGTGTTCGAGTACATTGTGTACCCTTTCGAAAAGGAAAACTCTTATATTCCAAAAGAACATTACCTTTCTGTTTTTAAGTTATTTTTTTTATGTCTCACACTCTCTCTCTCTCTCTCTCTCTCTCTCTCTCTCTCTCTCTTT